GAAGCGGCCGCGGGTCCGGCCCCCGGTGCTCTGCCGCTTTGCTCCCATCTCCCTGGTCTGCTGGCTCCGCCAGCAGACCAGGGAGACGGGGAGCAGCTTTTCTCGCCCCGGAGAAGGCGGGCGGCGGGACCAGGCGTCCCGCTGCTCTAGTTCTCCGGGGTGAGAAATCCCCGTTCGTAACTACGGATCCGACGTAAGTCAGATCCGCGTAACTCGGGGACTGCCTGTATTGAATTTCTTTCTTACTGATGCTTCTCCATCAACAAATGTACTAGTGGAAAGGAATGCTATCTTTTTGTTTGCTTCGTTTTTTAATCACCTTGTTGTGTAGCTCTACTCAGAGAAAGTCCAGTTGATGTATTGATAAGCAGCTAGTTTTGACTCGTTCTGCTTTTTTATACTCCCAGTTCTCTCCCACACCAACCAGTAGTGGAGAACTCTGAAAGCTCTGAGCACTGGCACGACTTTGTGAGTGCTTGTCAAGGAATTAATTCCAAAACTCCACCCCTGATTCTGCATTTCAAAGTTCTTTTGACAAAACCAATACTCAGCATTAGCAAGCAAAATACCGTGAGATTAACATTAAGTGTATTATGAAACATAATGTAATGAAAGTGTAATATCTACTAAACTTTATTTGTAAGTGATTAGCAAGTACTGTATATTAATTTTTAGGGCTGGTCTTTCTACTTTCTGGGAATTCATACCAATTATTTCTTTTTATGTGACATTCTTAAATATGCCTGGAAAAGGATGTTATAAGTGAAATACAGGGATTTAATTTAATATGCTACAGTTCTTCCTGGTATCTGATATTTCTGTTGATTCTGTTGAATGGGGTGATATGAACTGTTTAGAGATCACCAGGTGCAGAAATACCACCTACTCAATTGAAATGGGAAAGACTTGGGAAGGAAGAGCTATTGGTGACTGACACATGCTTGCTTAAGTAGACTTGTTTGAGAGTTTCCACTGAAAATGGAAGAAGGCTGCAGCTTTACTCTACAGATATGTTCATCTGTACCTTCCTCTCATTTGTAATGCCTCTGCATGCAGTATTTTCACAAAACTGTTAAATGTGGTTTGTTGCTGCCTTTGACATTTTTACATGGGCAATTACCTATACAATGTGAACTTTCTGAGCAAAATTTCTCACGGAATTCTCTTTTTTTTTCCTTCAGGGACATCCCAGTAATTTACACCATATAATGGCAGCAAATGTTCAGATGTCTATCATCCGAAGTAGTGCTCCTGGTCCCCCTTTACACATTGGAGCTTCTCACTTACCCCGAGGTGAAGTCAGCATGAGATATAAAAATGACTTTTTCACACTTCCTTGGGAAATCTACATCTGCACAAGTTTCTTTTTTCCCCTAAAATTTCCCATTATTGTTAATGTAGGTGCCACTCAAGCAGGAAGAATGCTAGTGTGGGCAGGGCTCCAGGTAGCTGCTGGCATTTTAAATAAAAATATTATGTTACCTAAAACTGCCTAATGCAGTTGTACATGAGAGTGCTTAATATGCTGGCAGTTGCCAGCACTACTTCTGTTTTAACAATGTGCTGGCAAAACAGTGGGGTATTTTAGATGGCCTAGTTTAGATAGGCCTCTCATGCAAGATATCATGGCTGATTCACTGCTTTGTTCCTGGTTGCTTATTCATGTAGTTTCTTCCTGTATAGCTATCGCAATAACATTCCTATTCTATAGTAAAGGCCTATTACTGTATTGAGTGGTACACATTTGCACTTGTTCTGAGCTCTTTGTTCTAGCTGTGCAGGCTTTTGTCTCTTCGCCCGTGATTTTGGCTATTGTTCTTTAAGACAAGAGACTAGGTCAGCTAGTGTGAGAGCTCTTTGAGAGAGAATTTCAGTCTGTCAGGTTCTGATAGTAGGCTTATCCTTAAGGTCTATGAATTGGGCTTCCAGTCTTGGGTAAAATCAGACAGATACAACAAAAAAAATCTACCAGTTTTTGTGTCCATCTCCCTCTCTTCTGTAATTGCATAGAGCGTCGGTATGTTTGGGTCACAATATTATGCAGTTGCTCAATACAGTAATCTAAAACTTACTTTAAGCTAATTACAAATACTGTTTTACAATTCCAGTACTGATTTTTGTTCGCTAACATGTATACACATCTAAAGAACATTCACTCTGGGCATGCTGCACTTTTAGTGATCCTCTGTGCATGTAACATATGCATGTGCAAAACTCCTTCACTAAACTAGATAGGAACGAGTGTGATATATTTGCAGTATTTACAGACATGATCTATTTGCAGTCTTTACAGCCCACGGGAAAGAATATGTATGTACCCATTTTTGTCATTGTGTTTACTTCAGCCTTGTGGGGAACCCACTTTAACATAAATTGCTCTTGGTATTTTCACTTAATAATTTTATTTTCTGACTATCTGTTTCCAACATCTTGTTCATATTTTATTCCTGTTACAGTACTACCTATAGTGAATAATTTATTGAGCAAAATCTGAAGAAATTGTATATTTCTATCCCATCAAATGATTAGACTGCATAATATCAAGAATTGACTGCATAAAATCAAGAATTGCCTCTCCTCTTGTGGATTCCAGGACTGGTTTCTCCAAGAAGCAGTCATTAACGGTGGCTAGAAATTTTATCTCTGCATCCCATCGTGAAATGACATTTACCCAGTCAATATGGGAATAGTTAAAATCCTCCATTATTTTTTTTAGTTTTCTGTTTTTGTAGCTTCTCTAATCTCCCTGAGTATTTCTCATTCACTGTCACAATCTTGGTTAGATGGTCAGTAGTGCATTCCTAGTGCTATGCTCTTATTCAAGTATGTGATTCCTATAAGTAGAGATTCTGTGGTATTTTTTGATTCGCTTTAAGACTTTTTCTGTGTTTGACTCTACGCTTTCTGTCACATGCGGTGCACTCCCCCAGCAATACAACCCACTTTTGTCTTTCCTATGTATTGTTTTTATCCTGATGTTACCATGTCCTATTGATTATCATTGTTTCACCAAGTTTCTGTGATGCCTATTATATCAATATCTTCATCCAGTACCTGTCACTCAAGTTCACCCATCTTTGTATTTAGACTTGTAGCATCTGTGTAAAATTTGTCCACATTTAATTGTCTGCTTCAAGGGATGAAATTTACTGAGACTTTTTTTTTCATTTGACTGTTTCTCTTCAGTTCCTAGCTGTAGTTTATCAGCTTCTGTCCTCTCTGCTTCACTAGGATCTAGAGAATCCCCTTTTAATAAATCCTTGAAGAGATGTCTCTGCCAAACTGTGCTCCCTCTGTACCCATCAGCTTCCTCCCAGCCCTTAGTTGAGAAACTCCTCTACAGCTTTCTTAATGTTATACGCCTCTCTCGATGTTGGTAGTTGTGTCATTTTGAATAATACATGTGATTTGTTGCCCAGGTGCAGCAGCAGCTGCTGTGATGTCCAGCTCTAAAGTAACCACAGTTTTGAGGCCAGCTTCACAGTTGCCAAATGCAGCTACAGCTCAGCCAGCTGTTCAGCACATCATTCATCAACCAATCCAGGTAAGCAGCAGTCATGCTGTAGTATAGATGTTATATTACTGCTTGTTTAACTATTGTTCAGACTTTTGGGGAAAATCCACTCAGAACATTAGAAGCTTTTTATTTACTGGGCTGTAGGCATTGGCAACTATCCCTTCAATTATTGTTACTTAGACACCCTAGACCCTTATGAAGCTGGCATTAACAGCATCATGCCGGAAAACTTTACAGGGTAGGCTAATTGAGCAGATTTCTAAACTGTCTACAAACTGCTTAAGATCTGGAGGAATTAAACTTCCATAAGTTCAGTTCAAAAGCTTGAGTTTGTGCTGCTGTTTTATACTCAAACTTTAAATTAGATTGACCAATATGATCTTCTGGACATATACTAGAAGATTTACCCAGTAGTGTTTGATGCCTTAATTTAATTAAACTTCATTTAAATCATTGATCTAGGGTGGGGATGAAGGGTGCAGCTGGGAATGAGGGGTTCAGTGTGCGGGCTGCCACGGGGAGAGAAGACCACCCCAGCCCTGTTTCATCACAGCAAGCCTGGGGCAGGTGAGAAGTGCCTCTCTCTAGCCACTGCAGCTCCAGTGTGCACAGCTGGGGAGGGGTGGGTGTCCCCCAGCTGGGGCAGGTCTAGGTTCGCCTGCCCCCTGCGCTTCCCAGCCAGATTGAGAAATGGGGCAAACTGCATTTTCCCCTTGCTCGCTGATGAAGGGGAACATCTAGCAATGTTGGTATATGAATTGGGGAAGAGGGGGCAAGCTTCAGTATCCTCCGCCCTCCCTATTGGGAGCCTGGGGCTGGGGCAGTTGTGGAACGGGGGCCATGCTCCCCAGCCTGCCCCTTTTACCTGCCTGGTGATTCTGTCTCTTTTCTGTATGGTTTTATGCATCCCAGTATGCATAGGGGTATTGCTTACCTTGCTTTAAGTTAGGATAAAAGGAAGCCCAAATGTGGTGGTCCTAGCTTTTACCATTTAAGAGGAGTTTTTGAACAACGGATGGAGAAAGAGACTCACTCACTCACAGACACACACACTCAAATATATAGTAGATAAAATGAGATGGTGAGAGGGTGCGTGCATAGTCACATCCAAATATATCCATATTTACATAAGTGCATAGCAGATTATGTTTGGTAGTCATGAATGAAATTTGTCAATATTGAACATTTTCTAATTGCGTATGGGAGCTCTGCATCACTGAACTGTTTCCATACATATCTGGTCTTTTGTAACAGCTTTTGATCATTATTTACCTCTGATGCTTCTGTACTGAAAACAAGACCAGAACTACTTAAGTGTTCATGAAAGACCTGTAGACTGCCAGGATTTTATGCTGAGATCCAGGAAAATTGGCTTTGTATTTCCCAGCTGCTATTTGAATTGCATCCTCGTGATTTTTATTATTTTGTTTTTACAGTCTCGTCCTCCTGTGACAACTTCAAGCACTATCCCTCCCGCTGTAATAGCAACAGTCTCAGCCACAAGAGCTCAGTCGCCAGTTATTACTACAACAGCTGCACATGCTACAGAATCAACCCTTAGGTAAATACATAGGGAGCGTTCTTGAGGAGCCCTACTTTTCCTGACGTTCCTGTAAACAGCTGGAAAGGAAATAGAGGGTTCTAGGAACTGTGAAAGTCAGAAGTATTATATGAGATTTTTCTGCTGAGGTCTAATTGATAAGGCACATGAATGAGTCAGGAGACACGAGTCCTTTCTTCTGCTCTGCCAATGACTTGCTATGTGACTTTAGGCACATCACTTAATCTTTGTCTCAGTGAGTTCATCTGTAAAATAAGGATAATGATGCCTACCCATCTGTGTGGAATGCTTGCAGCTCTGTGAATGAAAAGTACTGTAAATATTAAGTATTATTTTCTGTTCCAAGAGGAAAAACAACTGAACAGGAACTCATGGAGGGTATGTCTACACTACAAAGTTAGTTCGAACTAACGGACGTTAGTTCGAACTAACTTTCCTAGGCGCTACACTAGCGCTCCGTTAGTTCGAATTTAATTCGAACTAACGGAGCGCTTAGTTCGAACTAGGTAAACCTCATTGTACGAGGACTAACGCCTAGTTCGAACTAGCTAGTTCGAACTAAGGGCTGTGTAGCCCTTTAGTTCGAACTAGTAGGAGGCTAGCCCTCCCCAGCTTTCCCTGGTGGCCACTCTGGCCAACACCAGGGAAACTCTATGCCCCCCTCCCGGTCCCGGACCCCTTAAAGGGGCACGGGCTGGCTACGGTGCCCGTGCCAGGTGCAAGCCTGCCAGCACCCAGCTATCCTGGGCTAGTGAGGACATCGTGGACCTCGTCCACGATCTCCGCACTAGGCACAGGAAAGTGGCCGTCTAGGGCAGGAGAGCTGCCAGCCTGGCCACCTAGGAGCAGGTGTGCATGAAAATCAAGGGGGTCCACTGAGACCCCCGACCCTGAGCCCTGAGCTTACAATGGCCGTCCTGGGTCAGACCAAAGGTCCATCTAGCCCAGTAGCCTGTCTGCCGACAGCGGCCAACCCTAGGGACCCTGGAGGGGATGGACCGAAGACAATGACCAAGCCATTTGTCTCTTGCCATCCCTCTCCAGCCTTCCACAAACTTTGGGCAGGGACACCACTCCTACCCTCTGGCTAATAGGACTCCATGGACCCAACCTCCATGACTTGATCTCACTTCCCTTTCAACTCTGTTCTAGTTGTAGCCTTCACAGCCTCCTGCAGCAAGGAGTTTCGCAGGTTAACTATTTGCTTTGTGAAGAAGAACAACTTTCTCTTACTAGTTTGAAGCCTGCTACCCATTCCTTTCCTTTGGTGTCCTCTAGTCCTTCTTTATGGGAACTCATGAAGAACTTTTCTGAATGCACCCTCTCCACCCAACCCCTGCTTTTAGAGACCTCTATCCTGTCCCCCCTCCGTCTCCTCTTTTCTAAGCTGAACAGTCCCAGTCTCTGTAGCCTTTCTTCATCTGGGACCTGTTCCCAACCCCTGATCATGTTAGTTGCCCTCCCTTCTCCCAGCCTTTCTCTTCCCCTCTCCCACCTCCTTTTCCCAGTCTCCCCCAGTTTTTTTCAATAAAGACAGAGTCAATGTTGGAAGAAACGTTATCTTTATTTTGTACATCAATAAGAAGGGGGGCTAGGGAAGGGTAAGTGGCAGGAGGTGAGGGAGGAATGGGGTACGAGCCCCCGATGGGGAGGACTGGGCTGGCTCTGCGGGCTTCTGGGGGTGGAAGCTCTCCTGCAGCCCCCCAATTACTCCCTCTCCCCAGATGGCAGCCTGCGGCAAGTGCAGCCGGGCTGATGGCCGAGTGGTGTGATGTGCCCAGTGTGGGCACTCAGGGCACTCCAAGCCAGAACTTCTTTGCAAGCGGGGCACCCCTTAGAACTGTGTGTCCGGGGTGGGGGTCGGGACCCTTTAAGCGCAGCCCTCGGCTAGCCTGAGACAGCATCTCCATGCTCTAAGTCCTCTTTTTATGCCCTGCCGGCACTGCTTCCGGCCATCCTTAAGCCCTGTTCAGAGTCCACTCAATGTGGACTTGCTAGTTCGAATTAGCAAAACGCTAATTCGAACTAGTTTTTAGTTCTAGACGCGTTAGTTCGAATTAGCTTAGTTCGAATTAACTAATTCGAACTAAGTTAGTTCGAACTAGCGCTGTAGTGTAGACGTACCCTGACTGTTTTGTTTCCCAAGGAATCAGATTTCTGGGTCTGCAGTGCTAGCACCTGGATAATTCACTCCCATCCTCTTTTAGCAGTAGTTGCTGTACAAAATGGCATATGAGTAAATATTAAAAATATTTTGGAGGTGAGAACTAGAAATTGAAACAAGCTTTTTTTGCTCATGTTGGTACCTCTGGATACAGAGGAATCTGTATGTTCCCAACTGTGGAAGATGGAGAATAAGAATTATACAGCAATCACTTCTGCCAATGCTATCACTATGTAGTGCAGTGGTTCCTAAATTATGGTTTGCAAACCCTGGAGGGTTCACAGTATGTTACAGGGAATTCTCAGGGCAGGAGAGAGAGAATCTGTCATGGCGGAAGAAAAAGTGTGTGCGCACTAAACCAGAACTTAGATCATTGTGGCTGACATAGTTGTGGTAACATCCCTTAATTAGTCGATACTTTGTGGCATGCTGTTTTGCTCCAGTGAGATGTGAGTGAATCTTTTCATTTACTAGTTTGTTGATTTGTTAGTGTTCTCAGGGTGTTATTTTTATTTGAACTACTGTACACCCAATGATGAACAAGTGACCACACACAGAAGTGTAAACACACACAAAAATGAACATTCAATATTAGCAAATGTTTTGCCAAGTCCAAAATGTGGAAAATCTAAGTCAAATGATCATGATGTTCCTGGAAAGTCATTTATGAAGAAAAGAAAACCTGATGATTATATAAAATATAGCTTTATATGCACTGGTGATCAAGAATGTCAAGTGAAATCTTGGAAGAAGTGTTGCCATTTTCATAATGTAATAAAATTAATAATGTAATGATATAGTATATCATAGGCGTGTTATACAAATTGTATATTTCCATGATCACTGCTTTTACAACTTTTGCTCCAGTAAGGAAGAAAATCCCTGCAAATGTGTTCACAAGATTTTACATTCTGGTGAAAGGGTTGTTAAAGTTTGGGAACCACTGCTATAGTATACCCCTCAAAGAGAATAGTGATAGGAATGTAGCCGTGTTAGTCTGGTGTAGCTGAAACAAAAAACAGGACTATGTAGCACTTTACTAAACCATCTTGTTAGTCTTTAGGTGTTGAGCTTTCGTAGGCCAGACCCACTTCCTCAGATCAAGTAGTGGAAGAAAATTGGCACAACCATATATACCAAAGGATACAATAAAAAAATGAACACCTATGAAAAGGACAAATCAAATTTCAGAACAGAAGGGGGATGAGGAGGGGAGGTAAATGTCTGTGAGCTAATGATATTAGAGGTGATAATTGGGGAAGCTAGCTTTGTAATGGGTAAGATAATTAATGTCTTTGTTTAGACCTAGGCGTAAAGTATCGAATTTAAGCATGAATGACAGTTCAGAGGATTCTCTTTCAGTTCTCTGAGCTGTCATTCATGCTTAAATTCGACACTTTATGCCTAGGTCTAAACAAAGACATTAATTATCTTACCCATTACAAAGATAGCTTCCCCAATTATCACCTCTAATATCATTAGCTCACAGACATTTACCTCCCCTCCTCATCCCCCTTCTGTTCTGAAATTTGATTTGTCCTTGCCATATGTGTTCATTTTTTTTATTGTATCCTTTGGTATATATGGTTGTGCCAATTTTCTTCCACTACTTGATCTGAGGAAGTGGGTCTGGCCCACAAAAGCTCAACACCTAAAGACTAACAAGATGGTTTAGTAAAGTGCTACATCGTCCTCAAAGAGAAGAGTGGCATCTCATGTCACTACTCACATTATGCCTTGTTTAACTATCTGGATACTAGGGGTGTACAATTACAATTATTTGGCTAATCAAATAGTCAATGCAACTTGCATTGACCATTCAATTAGTCGATAATGGCCCTTCCGCCTTTGAAGTGTAGCAATAGCCCCAGGGCTGTTGCTACACTTCAAAGGTGAAAGCGCTGCGGGGAGCACAGAGCCAACAGGGGACTCAAGCAGTCCCTGCTTGCCCCATGCTCCCTGCAGCATTTCAAAGCAGCAGCACCCTGCGTTTCAAAGCAGCAGCTCGGCCTGGGGGCGGGTGGCGCTGATAGAGGCAGCAACAGGGGGTGGGGGGAGTGACTAGCCTGTCGACTATCCAATAAGCATTTGCTTATCAGAAAGTCAACTAGTCATTCACATCCCTACTGGATACTAAATAAAGGAAGGTTGCTTCTCTGAATGTCCTTTCTTTCTTTTCCCAGTCGGCCCACTCTCTCTATCCAGCAGCACCCACCTTCTGCAGCTATTAGTATTCAGCGCCCTGCACAACCACGGGACACGGCAACTCGGATCACGCTGCCATCTCACCCAGCTATAGGCACACCAAAACAGCAGCTCCACACCATGGCTCAGGTAAATCCCAGAAGATGAGATCAAGGTAGTTTCTTCCACTGTGTGTGCATGCACGCGCACAGTTCACTGGCAGGGGCAAGAGAACATGAGAGTCTTGGCTTGGGGGAAGGCCTCAATTCTTCTTTTTTGTAACCTCCACCACTGCCCCCAACAGGTTGCAGTAGCACTTGCTGAAATTTGGCCTGGTTGTCTAGCTGTCATACAGAGGGGGATCCAGGCCAAATTTCAGGGAGTGGCATTATGAAAAAGTTGTGCTGAGTGTTGGAAATTGTGGTTTCTGTGAGGAAATTGTGATCTGTGATTTTTTTACAGACTTATCCCATATTCTTTCTTTCTTTGGGTCATCAAGATGATGCAATTCAAAGTTAGTGATGAGTAGGGTCAGAAGTTAGGCTCGTAACCTGGTGCCCTGTTCTCTTAGGAATAGATGCAATATGATTTCAAAGCAAATAAAGTATAAAATATATCTGTACATTTCTCTTGACGTGAAACTTTCTTCTCTGTAGAAAACCATTTTCAGTACTGGTACTCCAGTGGCAGCAGCAACAGTGGCACCTATTTTGGCAACCAATACTATTGCCTCAGCAACCACAGCTGGTGAGTATTCACAGCCCAGTAGTGGGAGCATGACTTCTCCATGAAGTTGAGAGGTGACAGATGGCAGAACATCTTCATTCTGCAAATAGTCACCAGAGATCCTGTCCCTAGTTAGCATGTGAACTACTTTTGTGTATGGGGAAGTGGCAGCATGGGGAAATGCTTGGATGGAAAGTGCCTGGTGCTAGTTCTCTAGTTCTCTCTTTGCTAAGGATATAGATATTAGGGTGGTGACGCTGCATAGAAATCTCAAGTGTCACTATTTGCCTTTCAGGTTCTGTCTCTCATACCCAAGCTCCTACAAGTACAATTGTTACCATGACAATGCCTTCCCACTCTTCCCATGCCACTGCTGTGACCACCTCAAACATCCCAGTTGGTGAGTAATTTCAACTTCTGATGGAATGGGTGTATTGCAGCCAACATCTCTTTATGCATGCATCTAGGATGATCTGGGGTATCTGTATTACTAGAAAACTAAACAAGAGAAATAAAAAAAATCAAATTGGGAGAGACAAACTAGTAGATTTTATGACCTATACTATATTTTTATGATGTTAGGAAATGCTTGGTTAGTCTAACTATTGGCCTCCTCATGTGAGTCTTTTTCCAAACATACTGTAACCTCCTGGAACTTCATATTGTGACTAAGGATATAGCTACAAAGGGATATAAATGTGCCCTTCTCAATGAAGGGATAAGTTAGTCTTCACTATTGCTACAAGTTTTAGCTGGAGCCTAGTTGCATCTGACTGTGTGTTTTGAGAGTAAGACATTTAGTCCAGTTTGTTTCTTCACTCACTGTCTTACCACCTAGATGTGGAACATGGCTGAGACATCTGTTTCCAACAGTGTTGCTCAGAAGCTCTTAAAATTGTTGCTGCTGACTAAAGGTAGTGTTGCTAATTTTCAGTTTGGAAACCTATCTTGAGTTAGGTGTTTTGTTTCATAAAGGAACTGTTGTAAAACCAGAGCCCTGTCAGGTCTGTGGCTTTATTTCTGTTGGCCAGTTTTTTCATGAAACCCCTACTGAAATAGAACCACTTATTTCTCTGTGCAGAGATGGAAAATGGTAACATAAGGTATGCTTGGTCTCTAACGAACCTCTACTGTGGGTGGAGGCAAACTCAACTTCTGACACTAGTGTCAAGTATAAAATCTTCGGTTTGCTTTTGTGGGCGGTGTGTTTTACCAAAGACTAAACTCCAGAACCTATAAACGAAGCCAGTGATTAGTAAAAATATTCTTAGTAAAGGCCAAGTACCAAATTTTCTGTATCTTCACCTGCTTGTTCCACACCCTGCTTGCAGGCTCTATAAACATTAAGTATCTAAATTTTGGTCACATTGAATTTGCCTTTGAATATCTTCCAGTGAGCTGTCTCTGACTTCAATCACTTATCTGAGGAAAAGGTTATAGTTTTTCTTTAAAATCTTCCTATAGGGTCTGGGAAAAGAAGTATGGTCTTCACTCACTAGCTGCAAATACCAAGCTGCATGGTCCTCATGGGATTTGATTGCTCTCATTGCAATTTTCTGTTCTCCTCCTCTCCTTTTTCACCATAGGGATTGACTCTTACATTGGTCTCTGAAGGTTTCTCCACTCAAACTATATCAAGGGAAAAAAGGACTGATCGTGGAGAATTAAGATTATTCAGGGATTGAGGTCCCTTAATTTGATATTCTATATTTTATATGTGAACTTAGATCACAAGGGGCACACATTACAAATGAATAAAAATTTCCATTCCTTCTCTGATTCTGCCCTGTTATACTGAAGTAAAAAACACTTGTTCATTTTCATTGGGGAAAATAAAGTTTAATCATCTGGATTTCGACCTCTCTTTTTCTGCATCTGCTCTCATCTCCATTTTGGCTGTTGATTGGCTACTTGTTTTTCGTTATGCAGCTAAGGTGGTTCCTCAGCAAATCACGCACACTTCTCCTCGGATCCAGTCTGATTATACAGCAGAAAGGAGTAATCTCATTCCCATATCTGGACATCGAGCATCTCCAAACCCAGTTGCAATGGAAACAAGAAGTGACAACAGGTTGGTGGGAGAGAATTCTTTACATAGAGCACCTGTCTGCTTCTCTGCCTAAGCCTTATTGTATGCATGAATTGATGTGGTAGCTAACACTTTAGAGGGGTAGAGGTTTCTAAATTTAGCTAGCTGAAAGGGATCTCTAGAATAATTGGGGCTAGTTTACTGTTGTTGAAGGAGGTTGCAAAGATTAGAGGGTGGTCTGAACACAGACTGAAAGTGAGTTCAAATTGTAATGATTTGTCTGACATTTGCTGTATCTCCATATCTATAGGCAGTCAGTGCCAGTCCAATTCCAGTACTTCTTACCGACTTATCCGCCTTCTGCCTACCCTCTGGCTGCGCACACTTACACCCCCATCACCAGCTCTGTGTCCACCATCCGCCAGTACCCTGGTAAGGAGTTGCCATGCAACCGACTTTTAGAGTGGTCTTGGAGCAGGAATAAAAATGTGCTAGACCTGACTGGTAGAAATGTTCAGTGCAGTTTAGCATACTGATTCACAGATTCTGCTAAACAAGTTCAGGTATTTATCCAGATCCAAACCTCCTTGATGGGTCTCCCAAACCCCATGTCTGATAAACTAATTACATGTTCAATAGTCCCACTCTCTTTACCTTACATACATACTCAGTTATGTTAATGAAGTTGTGGGTCCCCATAACTGGGAGTTGTTCTGGCCTCTGATGTCAGTACAGTAGCCCCTGTGTTATTTATTGATACTGCATTCGCTTTTCTGTCCACTGTCCTCCAATTCCACTTTTCAATGTGCTGCTGCATTTACATATTATTATTAACAATATGTAAATGCCTCCCTTAAGCTGAGCTGCAAGGGGGCCTTTGCAGTAGTGTAGGGGACAGTTGGGTTGTCTGGCACTTTAAGGAGGCATTTTAGAGTGGTGAGGAAGCAGCGCCATACGTACATTAGTGGGCTTTTTCATGATATGATCAGTAGTGAAAGTTAACTACAAGTTAGGGTTTAGGTTTCAGAGTTCATATTTAATTAAGAAGAATGAAGCAGTTCACAACTCTCTATTGATTCAGGTTGTCTGCAGACTCAAGAATACAATACCATGTCAGTTCACCCAGTTCTTAATTGTCATGGTTAGCATGGCAATCATGAGGACTAGAAATATATATATTTCTTTACAAAGAAAGCTTGTGTTTTGGAGCACAATTCTGTATAAGGGTTGAATTCCACAGAATTGTGGGTGCTGGATAATGTGTTGAGCTTGAGAACTAACCAGTTCACCCAATTGTAGTGTGAAGTATTTAGAATTAGATCAGTGGTTCTCAACCTGTGGGTTGCATGCGGCCCATTTAGGCTATGTCTACACAGCACAGTTATTTCGGAATAAACTATTCCGGAAGAGTTATTCTGAAATAGCTTATTTCAAAATAACATGTCTACACTGCAGGGAAGCCTCAAAATTAGTCTGAGGCAGGCTTCCCTAATGTAGATCTGCTATTTTGATATAGAGCCCCAGGAGGAATAACTTAGAGTGGCCCTGGTGAGAGACTATTTTGAAATAGCAGCAGTGGGAGCATCTACACATGCCTTATTCCGAAATAGCTATTTTGGAATAGGCGTTATTCTTCGTAGAATGAGGTTTACAGAAGTCGGAATAAGCCGTCCGTTATTTCAAACAACGGAATTGCTGTGTAGATGCTCGCATAGTTATTTTGGAATAATGGCCATTATTCTGAAATAACTTTGCCATGTAGACACACCATTTGTATGCAGCTACTGCCTAGCAGCTACTGGTGGGATCTGGGTGCCTGGCTCCCCAATGTGTCAGGGTTCGGGCTTTCCATTGTGGTGGTGTTGAGGATTGGGGTTGCTGACTGGCCCCACAGAGTTTTGGGGTCTAGAGCCATCAGCTGGCCATGCAGAGTCCAGGGTCTGGGGCTGCCAGCTGGGCCACAAGGTTCATTATCTGGGTTGCCAGCCGGCCCCTGAGGTCCAGGATTGCTGTCCAGCCCTGCAGGGTTCAGGATCTGGGACTGTTGCCCAGCTAGGGATGTCAAATAGCGTTTAATTAGCTAATCAAGTGTGGGAGGGGGATGAGGGTTGGGGTGCAGGGGTTTGAAGCTCTAGATGGGGGTGTAGGCTTTGAGTGGGGCTGGGGATGAGGGGCTCAAGGCTGGGACAGAGGGTTGATGGGGGAGGGATGAGGGGTCTGGGGTGCAAGCTGCCCTGGGGCTACAGTGGAGAGAGAGGACACCCCCTCTCCAGCTCTCCTTTCCACAGCAGCACCTGAGCTGGGGGGGCTGAAGAGGGAGAAGAGGTGTTTCTCCCTGCTGCAGCAGCTCCGGTGCTGGGGATTTGGGATAGGTGCTTCTCCCCTCAGCTGTGTTTGGGCCGGATCTGGGCTCTTCCCTGACTGTGGCAGCTGGGCTGGTTGGGGCCTGGAATACCTGTACCCTGGCTATAGCGGGTCCGCCAGGGCTGGATTCCCTGAGTGTCTGCACAGCTTTAGGGAATGTAGGTTGAAAACCCCTGGATTAGATGAATTAGAGAGAAATTTAAACTAAACCGTATTTTAAAAGCTATCCACATTTTGATTTTACTCTCTCTTTTTGAAAACTATTGCAGATTCTTTTGTTTTTTAATTCACATTAGTAGGCTCAAAACTTAGCCTGCTGTTACCAATTTGCAAGTCAGTCTTTTTAAAATAAATACTTCAGTACTGTTCTTTACTTCTTTCAAAAGGAAACTTTTTTTTATTTTACATTTAAAGGACTCTTAAATAACATGTTGGTGGCAAAAGTAGACACCAATCCATCAGGACTAGGATACAGACCTCAGTTGCAGCTCTCCAGCTGCTAATTTTTAAACTTGTGAGTTAAAGAACAATTTGACAGTATTATTTCAAACACAGGCTTTGTTTCCTCCTTCCTGATGCATCCCACCTGCTAAGTGGTGTGGCAGTTAAGTTATTGTATCTTGTAGCAACAGATAGACATTGTAAATGTGAAATTCAGGCATCTGAATTTGTTATGGCTCTCAGGTGTCTGGGGAGTTAGTTGGTGATGTGAAAAATCTTATTTAGATTCTGATATATTCAACAGTAGCAAGAGGACTGCAAACTCTTAAGCAAATTGTTTCATCCAGCTAGTGTTTAGAAGCCCTTGTTATGCACCAAAGGAGAATGAAGTAATCCATTGTGATGGAAATAATTAATGCCTGCCTGTTCTCAGTTTCAGCTCAAGCCCCCAATTCTGCCATCACAGCTCAAACTGGTGTAGGAGTAGCCTCTACTGTGCACCTCAATCCCATGCAGCTTATGACTGTAGATGCATCTCATGCCCGTCACATCCAGGGGATCCAGCCAGCACCTATCAGTGCACAGGGAATCCAACCAGCACCTATCAATGCACAGGGGATCCAGCCTGCACCAATTGGAACACAAGGACTCCACCCAACTGCACCAATTGGTACACAAGGACTTCAGCCTGCACCAATCAGTGCTCAGCAGCCACAAACAGAAACAAAAACTTCAGGTAACTTCAGCCAGCTAGGTCCATGTTATGTATGGGCTCAGTGCAAGAGAGCAACTGAGCCTTGGCTTGACCTCCAGCTTCTTGATCAACTGAAGTATCTCATTCTAACTCTCTAGGAAGCCACACCCCGATGAAAAATAGTCTTTCTATAGTAGATACCTGTATTAAGTTAGGCTCGGTGTATGCTGAAGAAGAAAGTCAAACAAAATATGCAACTCCAGCTACTCCAGCAGCTTCCCTTACTTGTCATAGGAGCAGGAGTACCAGCTGCTGACAGGCTTGCCCTTTGAGTTTGATTTAGCTGGTCTTGACTAGACTCGCTAAATTGAACTCCGGAAGATCAATCACAGCAGCATTGATCTTCCCCAGAGTGAACACATAGCCGTAGTTTTTCTGACAATGGTTACAGCTAAAGTTGGAAGTACCACTGCAGCTGAAGAACTTGATAAATCTTCTCTGCATGTGGAGTATTCTCAGGGATGGTTAGCTGTTCTTGCAGATGGGAAATTTATAGGCAACAAATCCTAAGACATGAAACCCATTGCAATCACACTTAGAAAAGTGACTGCAAAATACCTTGGCCACCTGGACTACTGCAGGAAAACATCATTCCAGTTATCCTGAAAACTTTCTGAAAAAAAGGCATCTGGCATCTCACTCAAGCCACTCCCAGAAATAACAGTCAAGCAAATGTCCAGTATTTCTCACCTGCCTAAATGTCCTGAATCACTGATGACCTGAGATGGCCAAACACACCTGGTAGAAGGTTAGAACACAGCACTTATGTACAAGTAATAGGCAACACTAATGACATTAATTTCTTCCAACTGTCATCATCATCATGCATGTAGTGATACGTTCTTTCCTGGCAAGCTCTGCTTCCATTTCTCTTAAGAGTGCTAGTCTTACCTAGCAACCGTTGTTAGGCAGGTGATGGCTTCCATCTCCTCTAGAAAGGGTGTTCTAAATTGCTCTGTACAGCAGGTTACATTCACTAAGTACATCGCACTTCGGAAGTAAGAGAGAGCTTGGGGAGCAAGTATACGAACACCTACTTTCCCATCAAGTGTGTCTTTTAATAACTGCTGCTTTTCCCATCTTATCTGTGTTCCATTTTGTGTGTGTCTCCTTTTCTTCCATTTCCCTTTTGTCCCTCCCAGCAGTGGTCTTGGCAGATGGAGCCACCATTGTGGCCAATCCTATTAGTAATACGTTCAATGCAGCTCCAGCAGCGACCACAGTGGTACAAACTCACAGCCAGAGTGCCAGCGCCAGTGTACCAGCCCAGGGCTCATCCCCACGTCCAAGCATCCTCCGAAAGAAACCAACTACAGATGGGTGAGTAGGACTTGACTTGGCATGTAATTGCTTTTCTGCTCAGTCTAGTCCAGGGGTGTATAGTCCATACACAGCTCACCAGAGCATTTCAAAAGGCCCACAGCTTGCTTCAGTGCTATATACTAATGACCGATTCATTAGCAGTTGTCATCACATTTACACAGGAGGGTGTAAATAAACAATTCTGTACATAGAAACAAGCAAACTAAATACAAATGAGACAGGTTGAATATAAATCAATACAGGTTAGTTTTAAATCTCATTAAAACATGTAGAATCTTTCTGACCCACACAATGTTGTGCTTCGGTTGAAGCACCTAGCATTGGCCACTTTTCAAAGACAGGATACTGGACTGGGTGGATCATTGGTCTGACCCAGTATGGCGGTTCTTGTGTTTGTATGTATTTAAAAAACAGAGAAACTTCAGGCTTTTAAAAAATATAAATCAGAAACAAAAAAGGGGGACAGTAGCCCAATTTTCTCTTTCTCTACATAGGTCACCTTTAAAAGTCTGTTTCCTAGAATGTTCTGAGTTTTTTGGTGGGGATTGGATGGTCTCAGAATTAAACCTTATGATAATATTCAAATATATTATAGTGATAGCTTCTTGTGCTTTCCAGACTCACTTAGCTTACCAATATAGCATTATGCTGCCATGTGATAAATGCATATTCAGTCCTCAGGACTCTGCTTTGTAAGCAGAGAATATTGTCAAGTCAGAATGGTTTGTTGAGCCTTGTGACACTAATGGAAGAATGGCTGGCACTGCCCAGTGCTGGTAGATTGCCCGCTCTCCAGAATTGGAGGCTGGTGACCTCCATGTAGCCACAGGGGGCAAGTGAAAATTGGTCAGGATGCTTGCTTTCCTGTGGAGAAGTCCTCGAAATGAGTGAGAAGAGACTGATAGCTTGGATTTAGTCTTTCGGGAAAATAAAATTAGGCTTTTTTTGAAGTGATACTATAGAAACGAATCCTGTTTGTTTATCTGATCATAAGTGTACTAATCCATCACCACCTTAGGAGCGCAATGCAAATAACATGGGAAGACATTCTATTCCACTTGTCAACAAGAAATACAGTCTTTTTTCAGGCTTCGTTGGCGTTCAGGTTTCTAAGGGCAATGTACCTGAGCGGCAGCAGTTCCAAGCTTATCTGTGTCTTCCAGACTGGCAGTCCGGAAAAGTCTGATTCCCCCTCAGCCTTCTGAGGTAGCTAGTACTCGCGTGGAGAGCTCTATGCGGAGCACATCTGGATCACCCAGGCCTGCTGGGTAAGGAATTCATACCGCAAACTGTGTATGATGGCATCTCCTGTGTAGTGGATCAAAGCCAAAGGAATTTATTTATGGAAAAATGGGTGTGTAAAAGATGTCATGTGAACATGGCACAAATTCATTGTGAAGTAAAATAGAATCTTAAATGAATCATTGTATTACACAGAGTTGTATTTTTAACTCATGCAGTTTAACTGTTCTGCTGCTTGGACAAGATCCTAATCCCTTAAAAAAATCTTATCAGATCAGTATCTTAATTGCACTTGCCCTCTCAGAGCACTGGCAGTATATTATTTTAACGTGTATTACTCCATCAAACATTTGTTTGAAAGGAAGGGCATCACAATTATTTTTATTTGGGTTTGATGAATAGAAAATTCATTCTTCACAAGTAGTATAAAGTGATCTATTTGGCTAGCCGGTTAAGGATCTGTTATCTCTCTGTTGAATGGAGCTGACTAGAGTGGGTGGTATTATGCTTATAGAAGACAGGCTTAGCAAACATCATTGATAATGCACAAGGAAAAGAATCCTTGCATTCTGTCTAAAAGAAAAGGTCCTAGAAGCTCTTAGGTCATAATGCCTGGAAATGAATTCTGAAGAGGGTTCAGACAGAACTGCTTTGCCAATTTATGATGCAAGTCAGAGAAGAACCTGTGTCATCACCTCCCCTGCTATTGTTTGTTTTTTGTATTGTTGCTTAATTTGGATCTACTCATGAAATTGCTAAATATAATATGGGAAGGAGCCTGATAGCAACACCTCTCTCTCACTTGAGATCAGTGTAAAATATCTGGATGTCACTAAGTTAGGGATGAATAATTTGAAGTGAATTTTCAGCATTTAGCTTTCATAACAAAACAGCAAGGACAAGAAAGATCAAAATAAGTGGAAAATAAGATGAAATGGTACTTTCTCCTGCAGTATTCCACATTACTAAAGTAAACATCATGTACTGGAGCAGAAAAAAACAGGTTTTCTGAAGGAGCAAGCACCAAAATTCAGTTCATTTTACAGACTTTGTGGTAGAAAGTCATGGTAGCAGCAAGTAAAATGTTGAGAGCATGAAACTAACGTTATTGTGTATGTTTTAGTGCCAAGCCTAAACCAGAAATCCATGTCTCGATGGCTACTCCAGTCACTGTGTCTATGGAGGCAGTGTCCAATCAAAGCAGTGAGCAGCCCACCATTGCAGTCCCACCTACCTCTCAGCAGCCTCCATCTGCCATTCCAACAATTATTGCAGCAGCTAGTCCACCTTCTCAGCCCACAGCACCTCTGTCAACCATTCCAGGAGCAGTTCCAGCTGTGCCAGCCACTTCTACCACAATTGTACCTGCTCCTCCACCTCCATCAACCATGAGTGGAGCTCTTGCCACGGTATTGGGACCCCCACCACCAGAGATAAAAATCAAAGAGGAAGCAGAACCTATGGACATAATGCGACCAGTCTCGGGTAGGCTTCTGATTAAAAGTCACTCCTTTGGTGGGTTGGGGGGGGTGATAAGGACTTCACCAAAGCCTGGATAGCAGTAGAGAATGCCAGTCATAGGGCTGCTGTCAGCTTAACTTTAAATAATTCCTAAAGATTTTCCTGTTCCTGTTTTGTTTTCAGTGTAAGTCCAGAGACTATCTTGTTTTCAGTGACATGAATGGGTATGAAGCTCTGATGGGCTAGTGTCCCAGTGACAACTGGAATGGAAAGTGAAGGTTCTGTTGATTCCTAAGCAAGGAATTTTCTTACATAAATGGTTTTGAGATCAGATTCTTAGTCATAGCAGGGAAGGGCATCGTAATGCCTGTGACCATGTCTGTCTTAAATGGAAGAATTTGTGGAATAGCCACTGAATCCCTGACCTTTAAAAATTAAGCATGATTCCTTTAGATTGTACAATTGTTTGGCTACCCTGTATGCCAGGGGAGGGGGAGAGAATGCGATAACAGCAGAGCAGTAAAATCAGACTGCGGATCATTCAAAACAGATAGAAAAACCCTTAGGTATAGATTTTCTCTTCTCTATATAGTTAACATTTGAATTCCTTTTCCTAGATAGCTAGTATATATTGTTCTGTACTCTTCTTTCCCTCAGTAAAATTAATTGTTTTAGGGTAGGTAGCTCTGTGATGTTCCTTAGATAGTATTAGTTTGTCACTTTCACACTAGCTTATATAAAGTAGCTTTCTGTTTGTGGCTGTTAGGCTCTTAAATATTTCTCTTCCTATTTCTATCTTAGCAGTTCCTCCATTGACTACAAATACCATGTCTCCATCTCTCGCATTGCTGGCCAACAACCTTTCAATGCCCCCAAATGACTTGCCACCTGGTGCCTCCCCAAGGAAAAAGCCCCGGAAGCAGCAACATGTAATATCCACAGAGGAAGGAGATATGATGGAGACTAACAGCACTGATGATGAGAAATCCACTGCCAAAAGTCTCCTCGTGAAAGCAGAGAAGCGCAAGTCTCCTCCAAAAGAATATATAGGTAATGCCATTTCTGATGGCAATTTGTTCTCTCTTGCCAAATACCTACTCTTCTCCTTCCTTTTCTTTCCTCTAAATTAGCAACCTTTGTTCCCCGCATCTATAACGAGACTTCAGTTAAACCAGAAACCTGAACTATGAATTAATAGTACTTCTGTTGTGCTTTTCAAAACATCTCTTTCTCACGGGCTGCATCTCCGTTTCAATACCTGTAAAATGCTAAGTGACATATTCGATCTGATGGAGGGAATTGGCACCAGAGCAGAGAGAGCACTGCATTTTCTTCTTCCTGGTCTTCTGCTTAAATCACTAGATTATGCTAGTCTCTTCTAGTTGATATTGCAGACATTCTTCAATGGGTCATAAATGTTTCTCTTGGCTCTTTTTTAGATGAAGAAGGTGTGAGGTATGTCCCTGTGCGTCCAAGACCCCCTATCACATTGCTTCGTCACTATCGCAACCCCTGGAAAGCTGCGTATCACCACTTTCAGAGATACAGTGATGTCAGAGTGAAAGGTCAGTTTCCTTGTCTCAGGATTTCCTATTGCCATGGCTGCATTGCATTATATAATTCTGAGAATAGTTGTCTTATGAATAATTGTGGTCCAGATAGACGAAGGAGTTAAGTAACTATATTATGGGAAATAGAGCTTCTTCTTTGGCTGATGTCCCTATGGGTGCTCCATGTATGGTGATGGACATCCCTGGAGCCGCAAATTGGAGTTCTTTCTAAGCAGTTGCTAGTCAGGCTGCATATTTGCGGCAGGCGTCTCGCGCTGCCGGCAGTTTGACAGTTGAGCACGGCCCAACCCCCTCTCCTGTGTTCCTCTTCAACTGCCCTAGGTCACAGACGGAGCTCTCTGCCTCCTGGGACACTTAATATCCTCAGAGAAAATGTTTCACTTTCTAGCCTGCTCTCATTATTCAATTAGTGAGAGGTTACTTCACTAGTTACTTCCTTTCATTTTCTTTAAAAAAAAAAAAAAATCAAGAAGAACGAGTTGTTCTCCCCGTCCCCACGGACAGTTTCAGTGGCAGCAGCTCTGCTTTCAGTCAGCTGCTTTAAAAAACAAAACACCTCAACAGAAGACAAAAGGAAAGAAGAACATTACTGCCCAGAGGGGGTGGAGGCTGCAGAGACATTTTTATCTTGAGCCTCACACAGTGTGGACTCATTTAGTCAAAGCAAGAGTCTCCCTGCCCCGCCCCCCTCCGCACCGTTAACAGTTTGTCATGCTGGGCTCGCAGGGCTCCAAAAAATGTCTACCCTGCACTGACCCGATTCCTGCTTCTGATATGCACAGCAGCTGCATTCGCTGTTTGGGGGAGACGCACGTCCCCCAGAAATGTGACTACTGTCATGGTATGACAGCGAGAGCCAGGAAAGCCCAGGAGCTTAGGCTCTGTATGCTGCTCTTTGAAAAGGCTTTACAGCCTAATTCAGATCCCAACAGTAAAGGGATAGATTCCCCTAAGAGGGAAGGGGACATGGGCTGTTGCTGACAAGGTTACTGCCACCTCAGCTATCCCCTGGACACAGCAGGGGGATGCTACCGGTACCACAAGAGCTTCGGCGCACAGAGCCTCTCCAGGCACTGCTGCTACGTGTTGAGACCGTGCATGCCTCATCCAGTTCACAGAAGCCACAACAACAAACCCCAGTGCCTGCCCATTGGGGCTCTTGTACATTTCAAAGCTGAAGCTGTGCATGGAGCCTGGGGCCAGCAGGGAACTCTCAGAGCTGGGAACTTGCTATCTTTGAAATGTACAAGAGCCCCAGTGGGGACTCTTGTACATTTCAAAGGCAGAATGCCTTCCGCCTTTGAAATGTAGCAACAGCCGGGCAGACTTTTGCTACATTTCAAAGCTGAGGTGCCCTTATTGATTAATTGAATAGTCGGTAGAAATTCCATCAACTATTTGATTAGTCGATTCATATAATTTTAACATTCCTAGTCTGGGCAGGCACCCAGAGCAGCTTCCTACCCTGACTGCTGCTTTTAGGACAAAAAAGCAAACCCCAGAATTGCATAACTTTGCCCTTTCCTCCTCAAACTCTAGAATTGCATGACTTTGCCCCTTTCCTGCCCATGTTCCCACTGTTGGACACACCCTCTCCCCAGGGTTAAGGGGGATTGGACTAGAGGAGGAGAAAGTCAGGGCTGTCCTGTTTTTCCCCACCCCAATTAGAGAAAATACTGTAGAGGAAGAAATGTAGACCAGCCCTCCCACTAATGCCTACTATTGTTGCATCAACACCCCCCTTCTGCCACCCCTACTTCCACATATGCATGGCACTGTCAATATTGCTTTTCTGAACAGATCTGTGTTCAGTTCTTATTGGAGATATGGGGGCAGAGGGGGAACATTCAGCATTATAATTGTCCTTTGTTCCTATGTTAGAGGCATCAGATTTGTGTTCTTTGATTTTTAGAAGAGAAGAAGGCTATGCTGCAGGAGATTGCCAATCAGAAAGGAGTATCCTGCCGTGCACAGGGTTGGAAAGTCCATCTCTGTGCAGCACAGTTACTGCAGTTGGTAAGTGAATGAGGCCTACCATTGGGGAAAGCAGAAGTTCTCCTGCATCACAAGTTAGAAACGCACATCAGAGACTGGAGTATCTCAGACTGCTTGGTCTGTAGGGAACTGGCCATAGGCTCTCCAGTTGTCAAGAATGTGTTGCATGTGGTTCGGAAACTTCAGAATGGTGGAGGTTTGGATCTGGACATAAGACCTTAGGCATTCTGTACAGATGCTCTAAACTGGCAACTGCCTCCCTCTGATGCACAGATCTAAAGACGTATCTCTTTGGGATGATGCTGCTGATATGAGGCAGCACTGCTCCACATTCCTGGATCTCTCTCTTTTGGATTGCGGGTGAGAGATGTCCTGCATGCTAGCATCCTCCGCCCCAAACTTCTGCATTTCAGAAGGATCAGGGCTACTCTGGATTCAGATGGCAGGGGGATTCTTTACTCTGACGACTTTAAAGTATCTGGTTCAGGGACAAGAGTCAGGGTGTATCTCTGCAGTCCAGATTAGAGATGTGAGAGGTTTAATCAATTCACCACCCTTAACAGGTGATGCTTACCTGTTTCAGTTAACTGGTGGGGGCTGCTGCAGACACGGATGCTCCAGTCCAGCCAGAGCAGCCCGCCTGAGCTGGAGTGCCCCTCCAATCCCCCCTTTAACCAGTTAACCAATTAAACAGGATTTTACATCCCTATTCCAGATAGCATTGGTTATCCATGCTCATACAGAAGTAGAGCAATCCTGTTATAGGATGTTAGTATGAAGAATAACACCACTCTACATCAAAAGCTATCCCTCATGAACAGGGCTCGCCAAACCACGGTGAGCCCCACTCGCCAGTCACGCTGTCCAGTGATCTGCCATGCGCAGAACGATCTGCGCATGTGCAGATCGCTGGAACCCGGCTCTTCCGGGTTACAATCTACTTGCCACGGGCGAGTAGCTTGTATAATTTGTTGAGCCCTGCTCATGAATAACCAACACAAGTAACTAAGGGAGGAGCAGAGGCGCCTCAGTTGTTTGTGCATAATTTTCTTAATATGGAGGAATGTTGTGCATTCCAATGACAGACATATTCTCACTAAGGTCTCATGCCTTCTAGACTAACCTGGAGCATGACGTGTATGAGCGCTTAACCTCCCTGCAGGAAGGGATAATCCCCAAGAAAAAGGCAGCAACTGATGACGACTTACATCGAATAAATGAACTGATACAGGTAAATGTTGATGGCTCAGTATATCTACATTACTGTTAATTACAAACTCATTCTGTTGCTGCCTATGGTGCTGTTAGTAAGAACTATGAAGGGGAGGGAAATGTTAGCAATGCATTTCAAAGGTGACTAAGACTTAGAAATGACAGAGTTCTCTTACTGACAGTTGTGTGCATTTCAGGGGAACATGCAGAGGTGTAAACTTGTAATGGATCAGATCAGTGAGGCCCGAGACTCTATGTTGAAAGTCTTGGATCACAAGGAGCGTGTTCTGAAGCTCTTAAACAAGAACGGAACTGTCAAGAAAGTGTCCAAATTAAAGCGAAAGGAGAAGGTCTAGAGCCAGAAGAATAAAGACTCTGGAAATGGCGAACATGTATAGAATGGAGTTGTTCCATTTTTTTTATTTTGGGTTTACTTTTAAGTAGAGCATCTGATTAAAAAGATGAGTTCTAGAGAACCCAGATGGGTGTGTGGAGCCCAGTGACCTGGAATGATTGGCATGGCTCTGTCATAATGGACACATTTTTGTTGCTCATGCTCATCTGTTTTAAACTCTTTGCAGTCATCACATTTGTTTAACCCTTCTGATGTGTCAGTGCCTACAAACTGGTACCTATGATGCAGAGTGTGATGAACAGCCCCCTTTTCCATTTAGCGGTAACTTACAGGTTTGTTCATGGATTCCTGCAGGAGACCTCAAGAATCTAATCTGAAAGTATTGGCTCAGACTGCCATGAACTTTTCAAATTATTGAAAATGACACCACTTCCAGTCACCCTCCCATTCAGTTCTTCTGACTTTCCAGTGTCTGAAGTAGCCTTCTTAAACCAGTGCCATTGAACTAAATCTGTCACATTTAGAAGCTCCCGGTTCTGAAGTCCTAGCTGTCAATTTTTTTAAGAACCATTTCAAAGTGATTTTGTAGTATCTGTTGTGTGTGTCCATGTTGGTGCTCTTGGATATTTGTTTTGAAGTACTTCTCTTCCAACACAGTACTTCTTGTAGCTGGTGTGATGCTGTTAATTGTATTTACCACATACATCCTGAAAACCTTAATAAAAGACTTGGAGACTTTTGTACCTAATTTGTTTGTATATTTTTATGCTATAAAAATTCATAATCCTTAAGCTCTAAAAAATACTCATCACCTTAAAGACATTGCAGAAATCAGGAGCTGGATTTTGATAAAAGAAATGTACCTCTTCTGCTGCTGTCAAAAAAGAGAGTTCACTGGGGTGTCCACCTATAAGAGTATTAAGTGTGGTTTTTAGTTTTATCTTGTTTTTCCATAAGGGATAAGTAGGCCATTAATGAAGAGTTATTAGTTCGGAGTAACTATGAACAGTACACACAAACTTACATAATACCACTTGGCTTCAGGAAGTAATTTTAATTTGTATTTGGAATTCTAATTTTCAGGTGAGTAATGGTCACTGGAAACTCAATGTACTTTTCTGACCATGTGAGCTTAGTCCAAAAAAGCTATTTCATTTGGCAGCCTAAAGAGATTAAAACTAATTAATTTTAATAAATCTCATTATTACAAGGTGAAAATGCTGCTGCTTTCATATGCATCATGTTTCAGGCTCATCTGCCAAGACAACATTCTCATTCAAATCGGACTCTAGGTTTATTTAGAAAGAATATACATTTCTGCTGTTCCATATTAGCCAAATTTACTGTAACAACTTACCTTGTGGTGTGGGAACTTTCTGGGTGGAGGTAGAGTGAAAATGTCAGTAAAATATCACTGAAAACTTTTAGAATATACACTTACAGGCTTGTGAAATTGTAATTCTGCAAAGAGAAAAAGGAACTAATTTTTCATAACACAAAATGTGGAAAGTGAGCAGTATACACTGAGACCAAATTGCTCTCATTTATGTTTTATTGCTTGTGGTTCAGGAAAGGCCTATTGAATGCTGGGAAATGCACATAATGTTGTTAAAACACTGTTTGGCATAGAGTAAAATAGACTTGATGAAGAATGAATCTGCTTAGCTGAGCCTACGTTTTAAAGGTTAGAATTATTACTCAGTTTTATCTACCATAAGAGCAGCAAGCTTAAATTCCCCTTTCAGGCTAATTGCAAGCCTTCCACAGCAAATGGCTTTCTAACCAAATCATTTGTTATGATCAGAAATGGTTGTTTTACATGAACATTATGTATGACTTTTTTAGATCTTCTTTTTAGATGCTTTGTTCTTTTATTCCAAAAAGCTATTTTTAATCCTTTCAACTAGGACATGACCATCTAAGCCTAAATAGTTTATGTAATAATTGGGACTGATAATATACATTAGTGATTCTCAATTTTATTTTTTATTTTTTTGCAGACCATTTGAAAATGAATGAGGGTCCTGACAAACCACTTAATGATCCTTCCAAATGCTGTTTGTATTGTTAGCTAGCTGTGGGGTAAAGCACTGTGGAGAAAATTGCTATATACAATAACCTTAATAATTAATGCTTTTTTATTCTAGAAATAAAAAGAACACACCTCATATTAATATCAGTGCGAGCTGCGTCCCCTGCCACAGACCTGGGGCTAGGAAGACGGCTCTCTCTCCTCAGTAGTCAGTGTCTTGGAGCTGAGGATATTCACCTCTTTCTCTGGCCGTCACAGTCCTGCAAATCTCAAATTTACCCTCCCACCTATTCCCAACAAGGCCACCACCTTACATGTGCGGGTCTAGGCACGTAATTAGTGCAACAATGCCTGAGAGTCTCTAATTAGGTGGGCAGACCTTCAGTCTCACAGGTGGCAGCTCAGATGTCCATTTTAAAGGGAACTATCTGCAGACCACCTGAGTGAGAACCTCTGCTATACATGAATTTATATCCAAGACCTTCATTTTTGGATGGAAGGCTAAGATTCCATAAACACTAGAAAATTCTGACATTTTGTTTGCCTGTAACTTGACAAATGTATCACTAACTTCAGCTGCTGCAAAATGGTGGCACTCCATTGTCTTCAACAATGTGTGCATTTGTTAGAAGATGCATCTGCACTGAGCTCTTTGAATTTGAACATGTAGGATGCTGTACTGAGCGCAGACCATTTTTTGTTGCTTGAAACAATTCACCTCACAGCATTTGCCTCTTCTTTGGATATGTTACTTCTTCTGGTAACCTGAAGAAATATAAATAGATTTTTAGCATTCTGGGA